TTCTCTCGGATAAATCCCCTTTCTCCCGGACAATACCGAACTTCTCTCGGATATGGTCGGAACACTCCGGCGCCGACTGGACTGGAATCCGGATATCACATTTTCTCTCGGCTATCTTGGGGATAAATCGCCTTAGGCGTGAGAGATGATGGATTTTCCACGAAAATCTGTTCTTATAAAGCCAATGGGCGGGTTTCTTGTCCAAAAACCGTCCACCCTTCATACCCTAATCTCAGCCATTGATTCTTTCAATGGCCAGGATTGCACCCTTTGGATCATGGGCAGTTATTTGGCCATAACCACTTTTGGCCGAGCTCCACCTGCCCAGCTGACTTACCACTACTTCAGTCACACCTTAGCTCGGTATCTAGCTGGTCAGTCCGCCCAGCTGGGTCAGTACTCGATCAGCTGACTGAGCTAGGTTGAGCTGCCGGTCAGCTAGTAGTCAGCTTGTTCAGCTATTAGTGAGCTGGTCCAGCTAGTAGTCAGTTACTTCAGCTTATCCAGCTCAACTATTCTTGCGAGCTTGGCGATTCTGAATCATCTGATCCGACTAAGTCCTTCGGACTTGTTTCTTGACCTTGACTAAGTCGTTTCCTTAACTTGTTCACGATCAGTCCCTTTGATCTGAACCAAGTCACCCTTTTTCCTCGATACAAACAGGCCCACTATCCCAAGCCGGGATAGGGATGCCACACTGTCCCAAATGATAATGTGCCTAGAAGGTATCGATATACATAGAGCAATCCAATGATCCCCTTTAACGTTCAATGGCATGTATATGTCATCAATCTGGAGCCCCCATGTCTTGTCCGTTTTGCAGAATTGTGGTGCTTCGCCATTGTAATAATCAAACGCACCAGCTGGCAGCATTCTACCTGAGCCATCTGGATTCGGTGTACTATCGACGAACTCTTTGTATTTGTTACTCCACATCAAGCCCATTAATGCATCAAGCAGGCAAATACGGTCACTCCTAAACCATTTTGGATGTTTCAACATCCGGTGCCTCAGCAAGTTCATGATGGCGTCCATATGCTGCAGCCACAAATAAATAGAGAATAAGTCTACACGAGAAGTCTATGTAAGAAGTCTACGTTAGAAGTCTATGTAAGAAGTCTACGTTAGAAGTCTACACAAAAGTCTTACGTGTCTTGCAGCCACTGCAATGGGGTTCTCAGAAGCCACCACCAGTGGTTCAACGGTTGCTTCGTAGGGTCCCTTTTTGGCCAATTTCTGCATAGACATGAGTAGACAATACTCATATTATCTTGACAAAATTACTGAATATGTAAACTTCATAGAACTTGTTTCGATAGTGGGGACTTACGGAAGATGTTTCAGCCAATCTTGTAAAGCCTTACTCTTCTCCGTGTCGACGGGAGCAAGAGGATCATATCCACCGACTAGTTTTCCCTCAACAGGAGCAACATGTTTATAGCAAGCAGATAGCCTCCTAATCCTATCGCCCTTAGCTCTTGCCATAATTTCTGCTGCCCTCTTCTTCGTCTCTTGTTTATTTAACTGATTATCCACATCTTTTTTAGTTCGTGGGAAGTTTCCTAGATATACGAGACTTGGTTCTTTCTCTTGGTTCACACTTTCACATGGATCTGGTTGTTTTTTTCTGCAAGTAAGCATTATTAAGATGTCAATTCAAAGAAGGGAAAAAACATAAGAGGCTTTAATAATTTTAAAGAAGTACAAACATCACAAAATACAAGTACAATTACTAAAATTAAAAGGTTTTGCGGGTACAAAAAAATGAATTTGTTTGATTAAAGTCTACTTCTTAGGCTTAGTTCGTGCCCTAGTAGAGGGAGGCCTTTTAGAAGGTATTGTAGGGAGATCGGAACTAACCCGACCAGCAGGTGGATCTTCTTTACGGGTGTCGTCGTTAGACTTCACCTGCTCCGCATTCTTCGGGTCCTTCATCTTCGCAATGGTTTCCTCCACAGCCACGACCTTGCCAGTAAGGGCCTTCAACTGCAAATTGCACGCCTAAAACCCAAGCTGCATTTCCACAGACAATGCTGAGTAGGAGGCTTGGATTTGTTTTTTAATCGTCTCCACCAGAGTCTTCAAACTATCCTCATCAATTGAAGGAGTATCAACTGCACACGACCTCTTCCGGCTTTCATCATCAGATTCGACGCTTTTTTTCTTGCCCGCTGTGGCCTCCGACTTGACATTGCTCGACTTTAAAACACCATGGACCCGCCAATCACTTGACTTCCACTTCCAACCATCAACACTAAACTCCCCAGACATTGCTTTTAAAATATTCCAGATCGGGACATCATCTACCTCATCATCCCAAGTTGGGAACATATCCTCCATCGCCTTCACAGTAAAGTTGTTGAAACTAACCTGCCATAATTTAGGTGATATTAGTAAGACAAAGGAAGTCTACACAAGATGACTACACACAAAGTCTACATAATAAGTCTATAGAATGAAGTCTACATAAGAAGTCTAAACAAGAAGTCTACATAAGAAGTCTAAATAAGAAGTCTACATAAGAAGTCTACACCAGAAGTCTACACGAAAAGTCTACACGAGAAGTCTATGCAAGAAGTCTTCAGAATAATGTGAATCGAATGCAGTTTTACCTGTTTAAGCAGAGCCTCTTTGATGTACTTTCGTCCTCGGCAACCGCCGTAAGCCAGAACCGGTGGAGTGGGGTTGTAGGGAAAGGGATTGCTGTACTCAACTCTGAATTCTGGCATAGCATAATACGCCCAGACTTGTAGCACTTCAGCACACCCCGGAAGTGTATATGCTTTGGTCAAATTTGCTTTTTTCACTGAATCGATGACAGTCTTGAAAGCCACTCTTCCCCACGGGTAATTTTCAAAAGCCTCTAAATCCATGACTAGCCTTGCCAGTTTAGCCCGTGTGGGTGAGTCCCTTCTGCGTCCCTCAATGAATCCAGCGTATATGGATAAATATCATAACCGAAGCCTATCCTCCCTTGTCCATGCTCCAGCATACTTACATGCTTCTATAAGATCTTCAATACTGGGACCAACCTCTACATTAACGCCAAGCTTCTCCCAAAATTCTCTCGTATCAGGAGTGACATCAGCTTGTGGATCCTCCAGATCTGCTATGTACTCACAGTTGAGACCAGTCAGGGCTTCAAACTCATTTAGTGAGAACCTCAATGGGTTTACACCGATCAAAGTCCATATCTCGTACTTCTTCTTGCATTGAAGCTGAAAACCGAGTAGGAAGTGAACCACCCTCGATGCCCACCCAAAGTTCAGTTTGTAAAATTTTAGAAATACGCCCAGCTTTGATTCCAGCAGCTCTTCCCATTCATCGGTTCTCAGTACTGCTTCCAAGGTAGGAAACAGCTTCGAGTCATTGCTGTAGTAGCCTATGCTTTTAGCCGGCAGAGGCTCATCTCCCTTTGTGTATAATCTTTTTGGGAATTGGGGCTTCTCCATCCTGCTAAACAAATGGGCGAGCCCGAGCAAACATGTAATAATTATTGTATATGTGACTGAAATCTGAATGGGAAGTCTACGAATGAAGTCTGCTTAGGAAGTCTACAAATGAAGTCTGCTTAAGAAGTCTACATAAAAATTTAGGTACAACATAAGCTTACCTTTTTTCAAATCCTGAAATAACTGAAACCACAACAAAGCCAACAGAGACAACCAAGGGAAGATCTGTAAAACCAATAAAAAATCTCAAATTTTGAAGATGAAATTAAAATATATGACGAAATTACCGGCGATGACCATGACGAGTGGATAGGTCAGATTGCAAAAGCGGCAGCAACAACATAAAAGCAACGACGAGAAGATAAGAGATAAATAAAAATCGATTAAAATAAAGGAACAGATAATAGGTAAGAGATCTGGTGAGTGGGAGAGAGAACAAGGGTACCAGCGGCGACGATGTGAAGAGGTGGCGGCGAAAACGATGGAGATCGTGTATAGGCGATAAAAATGACGACTGTGAGAGAGGCTTCGAATATCTAGAGAAAATTAGGGTTTGTTAGAGAGTAAATTCTCTATACGGTAAACCATATATATGTCAGTTAGATTGTTCAATTTACCAATAAACTGGTCCGGTAAATTCCGGTTCCAGGCAAATTTGTTATTTTCGGCTTGGTTTAATTTGAATAGCAGACTTCTGTAGACGTATGCAAGACAAGTCTTCAAGAGAAATCTACTGATTCGCGCTGGTTTATTCCGGATTTATCTGGTTCCCACCCAATAAGTTGAATAATTTTGGTATTCCCGGTTGGTTTTATTCGAATTGCAGACTTCTTTAGCCGTCTACAATAGAAGTCTACAAGAGAAGTCTACTTACTTGGTTCGATTGTGATTCGCGCCGGTTTATTACGGATTTATCTGGTTCCCGTCCAATAAGTTGAATAATTTTGGTATTCCCGCTTGGTTTTATTCGATATGCAGACTTCTTTAGACGTCTACAATAGAAGTCTACAAGCGAAGTCTACTTACTTGGTTCGATTGTGATTCGCGCCGGTTTATTACGGATTTATCTGGTTCCCGCCCAATAAATTGAATAATTTTGGTATTCCCGCTTGGTTTTATTCGAATTGCAGACTTCTTTAGACGTCTACAATAGAAGTCTACAAGCGAAGTCTACTTACTTGGTTCGATTGTGATTCGCGCCGGTTTATTACGGATTTATCTGGTTCCCGCCCAATAAGTTGAATAATTTTGGTATTCCCGCTTGGTTTTATTCGAATTGCAGACTTCTTTAGACGTCTACAATAGAAGTCTACAAGCGAAGTCTACTTACTTGGTTCGACTGTGATTCGCGCCGGTTTATTACGGATTTATCTGGTTCCCACCCAATAAGTTGAATAATTTTGGTATTCCCGCTTGGTTTTATTCGAATTGTAGACTTCTTTAGACGTCTACAATAGAAGTCTACAATAGAAGTCTAAATAGGGAACATTCGTGTAGATGAATTTCAAAAGATACGATGATATACTAAGATCTACTCAAGCTAGCACAAAGGCAGATGATCAAAACTACAAAGAGTAGAGAAAGAACAATCACATTCCTCAGCTCGAGGCATCTCAAACGCTTCTTGTCTACAATTAGGTCTTTTAGTTGAGCTAGTTCTGCCTCAATCCGATTTTGTGCTTCCTGTCCATCACCATTTTGGAGGACACAAATACTGTCTCCTTGGTTGTCCAGGGCACATCGTAGCTCTTGAAATTCCTCCATCACGGCCTCATCCCACCACTTGACTAGATGAGGGGGACCAAACTATACAAGAACAACATAATACGTACATGTTTTTCATATGAAAACAATTTTGTTACAAAACATAAACACTAAAACAGTCTCTTAACCTTATAATCCTTGCATCCAAAGAACATCCTACCAGGATATTCGTCTGCACTGTCCATTGGTCTCATCACGGTAAGCAAACCGCAGTATCATCTGTTAGGAATTCCACAACTCATAGATCGACGCAAAGGAGTAGAGCTCACTTCTGATTCTCCATTACTCCACAACCTTCTAGAACTACTTGAAGGTTGACTGTAGCTGTATCGCCCCATTCCTATGTTCGAATATGGACACAGATCTGCAATAAAGTCAAAGAGAAATGTTGAAACTCAGATTATAAACCCGATATGAAGACCAGATGAAGATCCAGTGACAGAAAAATATGAACACAGCAAAATAATAAATTAGACGAATGGCTTACTAATAGCACAAAAGGAAAGGGAGAGGAGGTTGATGGCGAGAGAGAGAGATGGGGGAGATTAGATTGACGGCGAGAAAGGAAAAAGATGAGGTTCACGGCGAGAGAGAAGGGAGAGGAGAGGGAGGTGCCGTTTTAGAGAGAGAGATATATTTTATTTTTAACAAAATTAGGTTAAACTCTGGTTATATATAAATGTAAAGTCTCCGGTTCAGTTTAAAAAATTTTGGTTCTGACCTAATTAAAAAGAATGGTTGCTTTATTTTGAATAGCAGACTTCTTTTAACGTCTACCAATGAAGTCTGCTAATGAAGTCTACATTCAACCAGAAACCCTAAATCATATATTTCACTTTTGTTACCATAACCCTAAACATTAATTTTCTTAGCATTTCACATTTTAAATGTAAAATAACAATGATATGGACCCTAAATCATTAACCAAATCATAAACTCTGATTCATATAGAATTTGGGTTTACCATAACAATACTCTAAACTTTACACCTACCCTAACCCTTTTGAACTTCAAACCCTAACCCTTTTGAACTTCAGACCCTAATCCTTTTCAACCTTATACTTATGAAACTTATAAATTGGTTTATTTTCATGAAATTTTATTTAATATAGATGCCAATTGTCTATGTTTTCGTTATGTTTATAATATTTGTATCATAATATTTTTTATAATTTTAGTAAAAAAAAATTAAGATAATTATGTAGTAGACTTCTTTAGTAGACTTCTAAGGGGTTGTATGTTTTCTAGTTAATTTTGCTTCTGCATTTAAATTGATTCATTTGTATGAAATTTTGTATTTTATACATGTCAAATATATATGTCTTACTTATGTTTACTATTTTTTTATAAATTTATTTATTCTATATTTTCTAATCAATTTTTAAAAAACTAATAATATAGTAGACTCTTATGTAGACTTCATTAATAGTCTACCAAAATAGACTTCTTTAGAAGTCTACAATCGTAGATTTCTTATGTAGACTTCACGAAGGATAAAATCGTAACTGTGACAGAGTTTTTTGTTTAGTCACAAAGGACTGAGCTGTAATTTCACTACCCATTTAGGTTAGTTTTGCTAAACATTCAATAAGGAGTCTACATATTGAGAAAAAAATCAAATTTTAGATTATAAAGAGGAATTCCCCCAGAAAAAATCTTACCAAGTATGTGGTCAATATATTAGGCATAGGCACAATATCCGTGAAGTGTCTGCCTTACGGTAATGCATTGTTTCTGGGGGTTTGGTAAATCATATCTATATAAAATAAACTTCTTCGTAGATGGATTAGATAAGCTATATATATGGTTATGCGGATCATTTAAATACATATTAAATCAGCTTTCAGATGCGAATGAATTTGAGTGTATCTTGTAGATATATGATTAAACGAGTATATATATAGTTTCTAGTTGTTCCCCATAAAATAGATGTATTTGTGTCGAACTTTTCCCCCTTACAAAATTGATTGATGAAGATTTGTTTTTTTCTTTTTTTTTTTTGATAAAAATTGATGAAGATGTTGTGGAAGAATTTAGATATGTACTCGCTGCACCATCTTATAACGCGCAGCCAAGATATGATGACAAAAGAGCGTGTGGTAAATTTGTTTGTTGGAGTGGGTGAATGATTCGTCTTATAGATTTAAGGTTTACCATTACAAATACAAAATTGTCGTGGTTTTTTTTGGGTCACCGTAGACACCTTTAATAAAAAAAAAAATACTAAACTTGGAGATTCTATAGGTTTTGGTCCAGAGTGGCCTCGGTTGCACTTTTTCTTCCTCAATATACTTCATGTTTAGCAGAATTACGACAAATAATCAATCCACCACTAAATATTTTGCATTAACTTAAACAACACCAAAAAATGAGCAATACAAGCGAAAACACGTGTTTTTACGTTGCAAGATTCGCGGTATACCTTTAAAATTACGTTCAAACCAACTTTTTTTGGTCTGAACCATTAATTCAGGAACTCATATACATCTTTTTATAAAAAGGGTTACTAATATACATCCTGTTCCATGGAAGTTTGTACTTGTCTACTTATTGAGGGAAAAAGTCATGGAAGTTTAATTAGTAAGCTGACGAAATTTACTATTCCCAAATTGACAATTATAAATGGGTATTTAGGGAATATTAAAACGAGTTGGTAAAGGGAAAACCAAGATGAAGTTATTGAGAAAATTAATTAGTAATCATTGTATTTAACAAAAAGTCCAATAATAATAGTAAGTTTGGTCAACAAAGATGTGAAAGCCAAAAACAAAAGATTACGTGGTTTGACTAAAAGAACCTTTCCCATGCACGCAATACGACGATTATTGTTTTGTCATCTAATGCATGGCTTCTTATAACTCCATCACTTCTACGTACCAACAATGTATATATACCACCTGAATTTTGTATTTGGTACGTGTGCCTCATCAAACTGAATATCGTTCACACTATTGTTCTTTCATTTTTTCCATCTCATATTTAAAGAATTATTCAATTTTTAATTTACCTATATTATAAATTCCGCTAATTTATTATTCAGCTATTTTATTATTAATTTGATATACCTGTGAAGCCTATAATATATTTAAATATGTTTTTATGGAAAAGTTACAAATGATCATATATATCTTCAAATTTATATTAGTTAAACCAAAAGTATCAATATTATATAAATTATAATATACCGATTCGGATGGTCCATCAACCGAGCTAAAGCCAAGAGTATTTGAAGTCACCGCAGGACACATTGATTTGATTTTTTTTTTAAATGAATGTTAAATTATTCAAACAAAAAAAATAGTGTTTTACGATAGATGCTTCTTATAATTTGAAGTAAGAAACAGATGCTGTAAAAATGAAATCTGAAATAAATAAAAAAAACAGAGTCGATTCATGCTGTTACGACAAACCACACGGTCGGACTTTCATCATATGTATTAGTCAAGATGATTTGATTTCTTATAATTCATGATGTGCATGATTTGATTTCTGTATTACTTAAGTAGAAGTTCGTGTGTCTCTTTTTCGAATCTAAGATGTTCTCCGTCATAGTACATGTACGTTTTCGATCCACTATATCTAGTTATATATGCTTACATGATCGACTTACAAAATCGTAGATTTATAATGTTTTTCGAAAATGTATTGAAATAAGTAGAACGATTGATCAACTTAAGCTGAAAGTGTTTGGTAGGATAATAGTTGGTGCAGCAAACTCTCCAAACATGCAGTACTCTCATCTGTTATACACACATCAAACACTTACACACTGTTTTATTATGTCAATGTATATTTAGTTATTTCAGTATTGTTTTATTATGTCAATGTATATATACTATTGATTTGAATCCGATAGTCTTTGGTGGAAAAAAAAAAACAAGAAGGTATATATTAGGCATCAACCATTTTTCAAAATGTGGTTACATGAAAACTTTTACAGGGATTTGAATTGTTCGAGTATCCTATGTTAAAAAAAAAGTTCTTAAGTGACAAGATAATTTGTCAATTTACCAAATTCAGCTGATTCGACATTACAACATTCTCTTTGTCAGTTTGTTTTTCGTTAGATAAAGAAATTAAGATATAATATATCAATGCTCACGCGGTTGCTTCAGAAATTTATTCTTCATACATTTGTCCCGACGTTTGTTGTTTTGTCCGAAGTTTTCTTAATTTTTATTTCAGATATTATATATAGATTTCTTTTTGTGGAGAAAAAATGTTAAAGTAGAAGCTCGATAATATCGTCTTCCACTAGTCATAATTTTGTTTTAAGATTTATTAAATTATTCTTTACTTTGAATGAGATCATGCATCCTGTATTATGGCTGCAAATGGTTGTAAGTGAGAGGAATTAGAGGAATAATTATTAATGAAAAAAAAAAAGTAGAATAATGTGTTTTTCTACTGATTTTTTTCAATTCATTCCTTTTGTATTTTGTAGCGTACTAAATTCCAGAAGAACAAGTGTTATTTTATCTTTTTTGTGTGGGATCCATCATAAGTTAGAAAAATGCGATTAAGTGATGAATGGTGAATATTTAGAGGAATCGAGGGTAATTGATTTTTTTTTTCCTCCGAATAAGATTTGAAATTCATGTAAATCTATCATAGAAATATATCTTCATATGTATGACTACTGATATAACTACATATTCCATGCATTTCGCATACATATAGTTTAGTTTCTCATACATTTACATTGCATATTAGGTTAGTTTGCATCACTTTAGGTCCTAGAGTGTCTTTGCACCAGCATTCGCATGTTTCGTGCATTTTGCATCACAATTAGGTTGCTTTCGGTTACTTTGGAGCTATAGAAGATTCGTGGACGTGCTGAGGTTCGTGGAGAGGCTTATGGACACTTGTAGAAATCAGGATTGCACGCTAAGGACCTGAGATCGAGCAGCAGATCGAGCAAGGCAGGTCGATCTAGATGGGATCGACCAGAAGATCGAGCATGGAGATCGATTTGGAGTACGGACGTAGACGACGCCATGCAGATCGAGGACCGGATCGAGCTTCCAACCCGATCAGCACAAGATCGACTCGAGGATTGACCAAGAGCTACTCGATTCAGGACATGATCGATTGCCAGATCGAGCTTCATGATCGATCCCAGACCAACCTTATCCGTACAGCCTGTTTTTGGACCGTAGCGAAGGGGGGGACCATTGCTTTTGCCTTTTAGATCGATTGCTTTAGCTCGATCTAGTGGTCGATCTCGTGGTCGATCCACTAGTCGAATTTTAGTAATTCGTAGCTTTGCATTTTAATTATTCTGTCTTTACCTCGTGGTAGCTAGTTCGTTCCTGGTATTTTTAATATCATTGCATCTAG